ACATGACGCACAATGGCGTACGCATGCGCACAACAGCGGCCGCCATTTTGGAAGGCCCTATGGTGGCTGTACCATGCGAATTCACACCACTGCATCATGCTGGCTTTTTAGTAAGGAGGTACAGTACTTCTTCCCAATTTATGTAGAAATTCTCATGACGATTTCATCTCCTACCTCATTCCTTTTTAAAGAGCACATATGTTTTTCATTCAGTGACAGTTGGTAAAAGAATATTATGGTAACAAAAGCTAAAAGATCTTCCTACCATTCATAATCAATTGTCATTAATAGGGAACTGTATATCTTGCAATTTGAAGAGTGTACTTTGATATCATTCAGCTGGTATGCTGTTTTATGTACTGAGATCAGGAAAGTAAGGCTATTTTCAGCATATAGGAATAATTTCTGATTATATGGCCTGAACATTTGCTTTAAAAATTTGGAAATGAATGCCAGTGTTTTGTACAACTGATGGCATGTTCAGAGGCAAGCCCTTCTGGAATACTTTGCCAGTAAGGCCATGAGAAATGTCTTTTGATAGTGGTTTAGATCCTTAATTGTGTTACTGGAGGAACCCTACAGAACACCTCAGGGATTTTAAAAAAATCTTATCCCCATCCCACCCCTCCGCCAGCTATTCAAAGAATATGCTCAACAATGGCTCCTCTTCATCCTTGAGAGAAGTGACCAGTAGGGTGCCACAAGGTTCTGTCCTGGACCCAGTGCTATTCAACATCTTTATCGATGACTTGGATGAAAGGATAGGGGGCATACTTAACAAATTTGCAGATGACACCAAATTAGGAGGAATAGCTAATACCCCAAAGGACAGGATCAAAATTCAAAATGACCTTAATAGATTAGAAATCTGGGCCAAAGCTAACAAAATGAATTGCAACATGGAGAAATGTAAGGTGCTACACTAGGGGTGGGGGTGGGGAATGAAATGCATAGATATAGGATGGGGGACACCTGGCTTAACAAGACTATGTGTGAAAAGGATCTAGGAGTCCTAGTAGACCATAAATTGAACATGAATCAACAGGTGATGTGCTAGCTAAAAAGGCCAATGCAATTCTAGGCTGGATCAATAGAAGTATAGTGTCTAGATCAAGAGAAGTAATAGTACCACTGTATTCTGCATTGGTCAGGCCCCACCTGGAATACTGTGTCCAGTTCTGGGCACCAAAGTTCAAAAAGGATGTTGAGAAAATGGAGTTTGTCCAAAGGAGGACAACTAAAATGGTGAAGGGTCTGGAAACCATACCCTATGAGGAACGATTTAGGGAACTTGGTATGTTTAGCCTGGAGAAGAGACAGTTAAGAGGTGATATGATGGCCCTGTTTAAGTACTTGAAGGGATGTCATATTGAGGAGGGAGCTAGCTTGTTTTCTGCTGCTCCAGAGAATAGGACCCAGAACAATGGATGGAAAAGGGATTCCACTTCACCATTATGAGGTACCTCCTGACAGTAAGGGCTGTTTGACAGTGGAACACACTCCCTCAGAGAGTAGTGTAGTCTCCTTCTTTAGATGTCTTTAAAAGAGACTGGATGGCCATCTGTCAGGTATGCTTTGATTAAGAGTTCCTACATGGCAGGGGGTTGAACTGGATGGTCCTTATAGTCTCTTCCAACTTTATGATTCCATGATTCTATGATACAGCATCTAAATCAGGGATAGGCAACCTAAGGCCCGGGGGGCCGGATGCGGCCCCCTGAGGCCTTTGGACCAGCCCCAGGCCGGTCCTGCCAACGCCGCCCACCATGATGATTTTGAATATTGTTGTTATTACTTGTTCTTGGGGTTTTCTTGGCAAAATCTCCACAGGGATTTTGCCATGGCTTTTCTGGGGCTGGGAGAGTGTGCATGCATATTTTTTTAATTTTTTAATTTTTTTTAAAAAAATATTTGTATTTATTTATTTATTTTTGGTGCTTTGGCTCCCCAATTGTTTAAGGGACAGCAACCTGGTTGCCTATCCCTGATCTAGATGTTACACAGAGATCTGGAATCTTTACAATCAAGAGAACTATGACTCACAGCTGTGGCAAAATTATATTGTCTTCACCAGCTAAAGAGCAATAAAGATGAGGCTAGCAAACCTCCTGGGAAGGAATTCATCCAACTGGAGATTTTCTATGTGCCATCTACTCAACTCTCACTTAGGATGACCTTATCATAGGGTGTGGTGGTTTTTTGTTTTTTGTTTTTTTTGGCAACGAGATCAAATGAGATCTGTTGTCTTTAGAGCAGGGGTAGGCAACCTTTCCCCTTTAAGGCCCGAGGGACTTCAGCTCCCAGAATCCCAGGAGCTATTGGCCAACATGGGACTATTGGCCAACATGACTGAGGCTTCTGGGAGCTGAAGTCCCTCGGCCCTTAAAGGGGAAAGGTTGCCTACCCCTGCATCAAGGGATGCCAATAGTGTACCACTTTTAGCTTAGCAAAGCCACTCCAGGTGCAGCGCTGAATCCAGGAATACCTTCTAATATTTTATACATGATAGTTGGATCTGGTTTTTATTGTTAGCCTTTTATATATTTTATTTTTGGTGTTTTTGTGTGTACATTTTCTTTTTTATATGTGATTAAATAAATTAAGAGGTGATCAAATATGTAGTAAACCAACAGATACTTTTCCTTTTCATCAATTTTTAAAGAACTTGGTGGTAGTAACAAGCAAGAGGAGTCTCAAGAAAGTGAAAGTTAATAAACATAAGAAAAAAAACACTCAAGAGAAAGAATGATCCCTGAATTCAGCCTATCCTGGTTGTGGTAGTGCATAGTAATAATTTGGAGTCATAGGTTATGAGTATTTGGGCTTGGCTTGGCTTCTTTAAAACTTTTCCAAACCATGCCCAAGTGTCTAGTCAGTGTTGGTTTGGAAGTCTTTGGAGTTTAGTCCAAAAAGCAACATAGCCCAGCTAGATCTTTAGGGCTCCAACTGGCATCCATCCCCAGGCTTTGGGGAACCTGGAAAGGCTTTGGTTCACTCTTGAAAACATATCCATGCACACTTAAGTTAGAGAGTTCCAATCTAAAAACATCTTCACAAAACTATATCTTTTGTACTATAACCAACATAATTATGTACCATAATGAACTGGGCAGCTGCAGTGGTTCTCCACACCTGGTGTCACTCGGTGGAGAGGAGGCTTCTTGGGACAGGGCTTCCAGGGTGGTGTGCACTCCCTCCCCGTGTACCACCCCATCTTTTCCTGATGGAAGGTCCAAACAGCTGTCATCCCTCTTTTGGGGTGTCACCCGGTACAGGCCATGCCACTGCTCCCCCCTCCCATCAGGAAGGGCTTTTCAGGATTCTGATCTAAAACATCTCAAAAACATACCCATACAACCAGTATTGATTTGGGGAATTGGGGGGTTGTAATTTGACACATTTTTATATTAGTAATACATATTTTGGAATACAACTATTAGAAAGTTGGAAAAGGCTTTGGGGGTTTGTTCCATGAAATATATTCAAAACATGGCTATACAATATTGGTTTTGGGATCTTGGGAGTTGTAGTCCAAAACCAACTTTGCCAAGGTAAATGTTTTTAAACTAAAATTGTCATCATCTTTGTGTTTTATCAGCCCTGCACATAAAATAATGGAAACTCTTGCTTTGGATGGTTTCATGTTAGGTTCAATGCTGTACTATATTCTGTACTATACAATGCTGTCAAACACTTCGAGCTAAGAAATACCAAACAATATAGAAGCATCACCACTCATTAATGGCTAGGTTTTCCCAGATGGCACAACATTATTTTTGTTAGGACACTGGAAATAAATCTGATGAAAGGTCAGAAAAGAAAAGGCAGAATGGAGGAAGGAGGGCATATTTGTACTTCTGCTATGGTCATAATGGTGTTGCATCCATGTGGACTTTGAAAACAGACAGAAAAGGAATGACACTAACCCATCAACGTTTAAATTACCTGAGGTAAATGTCTCTGGGGTATTATTCTGGGGTAAAAGTCATGTTTGTTGTGATGAGAATGAAGGCTGCCTTAATCAAAATGCAGTATGCATTTGCAAATTTGGAATAAGAAAGAAAAAGAAAGGGTGAGGAATCAAGAAATTATTGGTTAAAATTTCACTTATCACTAAGTAGTGGGAGCCAGTGTGGTGTAGTGGTTTGAGTGTTGGACTACAGCTCTGGAGACCAGGATTCAAAACCCTGATCAGCCATGGAAACCTGCTGGGTGACCTTGGACAAGTCACATACTCTCAGCCTCAGAGGAAGGAAAGGCCAACTAATCTTGTCAAGAAAATCTACCTTAGAATTACCACAAGTTAAAATCAACTTCAAGGCACGCAACAACCTTAAGTTGTTGTTAGTTGAGCAATGCCTCTTTTATCCTCAATCCTGCCATTGGTAATATAGGAATAATAATACACATTAACTTATATTGTTGTATAGATTGCTTTGCAGATGAAGTTTGCTGCGTTCTTTAAAACGCTATGCAATTACCATAATTATTAATGTTAGTCTGACCTCAGTTCCAGTGCTATCTATTCTAGATGACAACTACACTGCATGTGAGACTACATTACATGCTAGCACAAGCTGAGATACAGAGCAGGATGCTATAAGCTTTTAACATAGGCACCTGGAAGATAATCAAGGGGATGTGCTTTAATGCAGCCTCCTTATATGTAGCTCCTAATGTTTATAACTGGCCCTAAATTCTTTGAGTGTAATTTATTTCCAAATATGCATGCTCTAGATTGCAAGTACTGTACTGTCCTAGCCAGTTACAGAAGAAATACTATCTCTGCTCCCCGTTGGCTTGTTTTTAACTTGTATTGTATTTTTGGATTGTCTTGTTCAATGTTGTAAGCCGCCTTGATCAGTTCTCTGGAAAGGCGGGGTATAAATAAAACTTTTATTATTATTATTATTATTATTACTAGGAAGCTGTCTTAATTCTCCAAACAAAGAGGGGCGGGGGAGATTCAACTGAAACATAAATCCACACATTATGGCTTTTGGAAACAAATAAAAAAATCTCAAATAATATCTATATTTTTCTTAGAATTGAATAACAATGTAATTGCTAAATAAATTACCGGTAGTAGATAATCCCAGAAAAGAAGCAGTAGCAGAAAATAAAAGGGCAAAGAGCAGCAATTTCATAATCAGACAAAACAATGAGTCATTTGGCAGTGCACTAAAAAGTGTAAAACACATTTTCTATAATTACTGAAGAGGCAGTTAATGGTAGTTAATACTTTTCTTTGTTAAATGTTCTACCTAGGATACCACTTGTCAGGGGTTTGACAAAGTGTTTCTTAGATAAGTTTGTTTGAATAAGTGGAGAAGCTGAAAATTAATAACCGAAGTAGCATCTTGAAGCTTTAAATGTGTACAGAATTAACAAAAAAGAAGGTTGGAATCAGCACCCCACCATTCATTCGTCAAGGCCATTTATTGGAAAACCTTGCTTATCTTCTAAACAAAGGAGGTTCCTGCTGAGGATTTAGCTGCCTACCCACTGAACCTGCAGACACCTAATTCCTCCCCCCATAGGTGGTACTGCAGCTGGTAACAGCAACAACAAGAAGCTCTTCCTATGGATTGAGGTGGGAAACAACAACAGATTAAAATACAACACATAGGTGAGCTTGTCCAATGATGTCATAATGGGCAGGGATCTGTACAGTTGTTCTGATCCAATCGCAACCTATCCAAGTCTATATTTTATCACCCACAGTGCTGTAGGAGTTGCAGTTTCCAGCTAAGTGGGGGCTCAGTTCTTTCTGTTCTAGCACCACTGAATAAGCCCAGTCAGTGCAAGCTGGGTAGACTGTTTTTTGAGGGGAAAGCTGGTATCTGTATTATTATTATTATTATTATTATTATTATTATTATTATTAAAGTTTATTTCTAGAGCGCTGTCAGTGTACTCAGTGCTGTACAAAAGACAATCAAGAATAAAACAAATAAAACCTGCCAGAGGCGTACCTGTAGCGCCATCATTACTGGAAGAGAGCAAGTGGCTGCAGGCACTGAGGAAGGGAAGCAGTTTACTTCAGTTGCTGCAAACTTTGAGTTCAGACTGCAAAACTAATTTGCACTCAAGTCATTGGGGGAGAAGAGAGGGCAGAATCTCACCTTTTTCTCTAGAGTCAAGCAAAAGCAAACACCTCCAGCCTTTCAGTGTGTGCGCTCTTTCTCATTAGTAACGTTTGCCATCTTGACCATGCTTTAATGTTGCTTGGGCACATGTATCCTGGTTTTCATATGTGAGATGTTGAAGTATATGTTCTCACCCCTTTTCCCCATGCAACTCCTGCTGCATCATTCAATAATGATGGCAGAATCATGAGGCCTTCACAATAGATATCTAGAGGCCACATAAATATACAACCGGTGTCACAGCTTTCACCTGTGAAATATTGGCTGATGCCATCTCTAGCTCCAAGCACAATCTCAAAAGGAATATGTGAAAAATGGGAAAGAAAAAAAGCCCAGTTGTTCGTGGGCTTTGATTTTAAGTTTCTGCCAACCTAGCAGTTCAAAAGCATTCAAGTACAAACAGATAAATTGGTACCTCTTTGGTGGGAAGGTAAACAGCATTCTGTGCAATCATGCTGGCCACATGATCACAGAGTTGTCTTTGACAATGCTGGCTCTTCGGCTTAATAACAGAGATGAGCACTGACCCCTATGGTCGGACACAACTTGACAACCTTGTCAATGGGGAATGATACCTTGACCTTTAGCTTTAGTTAAATGTGTGGCCCCACAGATATTTTCAGCTTGTAACTTCCAACATTTCTCACTGTTGCATTCCAATAGCATGGGTTGTGTGTGTGTCAGTTCCCATTCCTAATTTAAAGGGGTTTATTGAATTTTGGTTTCCACCTTCTGAGTGTTAGTGAGATCAGAGATCTCTGTGATTGTCTATTGCTCAAGAAGAAGAGGAAGAAGAAACAACTTCTCAGATGTTTTCAGCTCTTCCTTACATATCAGCAAGCAATACTGCCATCCTGTGGAACTTATTTAAAAATGAACTGTCTTAATTAAAACAGAAAAGTACCATATTTGTAATTGTGACACTTTTTCAACTTGAAGATCACTCAGTAAGTCCAAAATGAAAGAGAAGAGTATGAGCATACTTCATGGTAGCATGAATCTCTTTTCTGTCTTGGATATTCATACATATCGGGGAACAACAACATGTATTACCGTCCTGATGCAAGCTGCACGGACTTCTCACAGTGCAGTATGATGGATATCTACTAAAAAATAAGCCTCATTATCCCCACTGGAAGTGTGTATAAAAGAGTAGGGTAATGTTATTTGGAAAGTAATCTGTACCACAAAGGTGAGGAAAGTGTGACCTGCAGCTCTAGCCCCTTTTTTGTGGTCCCCTTTTTCTGCCATAGTCTCTCATAGGCCTCATCTGCACTGCAGAAATAATGACGTTTGACAATACTTTTATTGCCATGGCCCCATGCTATATAATCCAGGGATTTGTAGTTTGTTGTGGCACCAGAGCTCTCTGACACGGAAGGCTAAATATCTCACAAAACTACAAATCCCAGAATTCTATAGCATTGAGCCATAGCAGTTAACAGCAGTGTCAAACTGCATTAGACTGCTGACCCGTCTTGATTTTCTGGAACCCTTGATCTTTGGACTGCCTGATTGACCTGCTTATCTGATACCCTGGACTTTGGCCTGTTTGACAATTCTTCTGGTAAAACCTTTTATGTTTGGAACTCTGTGCTTTGAAACAGAGACTTCAGCTGCTGCTTTACACTAGCTCTACAAGCCATTTGTTTGTTTGGTCTTATCAGCCATTTGGCTGCTTTCCCGGACAAATCACCCCTGCTGTAGAGCTCTTGTGTATGGCATGGGCTATGTTTGGTCTTGGTATTATAATGCACAACAAGTAGAGTGGGAATTGTCCTGGGGTAAGTTTGGTCCTGTCATTAGGCAGAGTGGAATACTGCCGTAAGTGTCAGATGTTAGGATACTACTACAATGCATATACTGCCTTTTCTATAGGTTTATGAAAAAATAGACCTTTCCTACATATATTCTACATGTATTATTATATACTCTTGTAGTGTTGACCATTATAGTAGTTGCATGATTATAGAGTTGTACTGCATATAGCTTGTTATATGATCATTATTTCTTTAGACCACTACTATATAGTCAGCTCTTCCTGTAAATGGGGGGTTCGGTTCCCCCTGGATGTCAAAACTGCAGGACCTCAATCTTGTTCTTTTTAATGGCAGCATGCTGTGTGTGCGGCTGTGCTGGTGTGGCCACATGCACACACCGCCATTTGAGAAAATAAGGTGGGGCCATCCACAGATGCTCCAATCTTCAGTTGGGGCAGGCTGACTGTACCAGGATTGTTATTGTTAGTGTAACAATTGTCAGGTTGCCTTGTTGTTGTTATGGAATTGTTCCTTCATCCCTTACTCATGAAACCCACTGATGGCTTATGGCTTCTATATCAGTGGGATGGCAATGCTCTCTGCTTTTAGTGTGAATTTTAAAGGAGTTATCCAAGATGCTGAACTCAGTCACAAAAGTTGGTTTAGTACCTCGGGTAAGTCTTTTAAAGTTTGTTTTGACCCTACATGGCTTGGGTCCAACTTATCTTAGGGACCGCCTCTCCCCATATGAGCCCCCTCGCGCCCTTCGGTCAGCTGGCAAGAACCTACTTTTACAACCAAGACTGAAACTGAAACAGACCTCGGAGAGGGCATTCTCCAGCACTGCCCCTAAATTATGGAATGGCCTGCCGGAGGAGATCCGTCTTATCACAACACTCACTGCCTTTAAGAAGGCAGTTAAGACGGATCTCTTCCGGCAGGCTTTCCCAGATTGAGGCTTCCCCAGATGGACCTTCCCTGGAGGAATCTACAACGGTACCCCTCCCCATGCTTTCTGTTCCCTCGCTAATTCATTTTATGTTATTTTATAACTTTCTTGTTTGCGGTTTTAATCCTTCTAATTTAATTCTGTCTTATGGGGTGGGAGGGCTGACTAGAGGGATGGGGATACTCGAATGTATTTTACCCATTGTATTTTAATTGTTGTTGTAAGCCGCCCCGATTGCTTTGCAGAGGGGCGGGGTAGAAATAAATTTTATTATTATTATTATTATTTTGATTTGTGAATTTGTTAATCCATGATAACCACCACCCAGCACTGTCTGAAC